AAACATATGAAACTTTTCGAACTTCATTTCAAACTACGAATATTCAACTACAAGCAATGGAAATTTAATTACAAGCATTACAGAACATTCAATTCCTCTAAAGCTAAAAATTTATTCAGCATTTCTCAGCTTTATAATTCTTTTCAACTCTCTAACAGTGAACAATTTGAGCGACAAGTTCATTCAACTCTTATGAGCTCAGATATAAAAATATTTCATTAGTAAAAACTTTAATTCAGTCAAAGGGACATAATACCAACAAAAATAGTAACCCCTCTTGTGTACATCATTATACAAATATAAATATTGTTGTTGTTACAAAACCATTTCGTGTTCCTTCTTGTTGTTTCTCTTGTTACTTTTGCATTTGCTTACACATTTGTAAAGTAAAAAATGTACAGGTTGATTTAGACCATCAATACCGCTACAAAGGGATTGGGCAGCTGTAGCAAAAACCTGGCAGCATTTTGGATTCAATCTGATTCTTGTGAGGATTAAAAATGGCAGAAGGAGTTGGGTCTTTAATGGAGTGAAACTATGAACCATTACCATAGAAATAGTGATTGGCTTGTGATGATGTGTCTGTTGAAAAGAGGCTGCAGAGTGGAGAATATCTTCCCTGACTCGACCATGTGAATGATTTTGAGCTCTATAAGGGTTGGAAATTTAGGAGTGTGTTGTAACCTAGAAAGGGTTACCGAATGAGGAATAACCAAAACAGAGGTTGGAAATGAAATGGTAATATTTATAACATCAACAAAATAGAATATTCGTCAGCAGCATAAAGTAGGTAAATTACTGCTAGTGGTGGACTACTTAGACAGCATATTACCCCCCTTACAATAGTGTCCAACATATTTATAAAGATTGGGAGATATCTATTAGTGTTCATGGGTATGGTATATAATAGAGTGAGAAGCTCTAGCCCAGATATGGCAGCAAAAATCCATTTTGGGTTTTGTCTATCTCTTAAAATTAATAGATGTTGTCTGAATTTCTTAGATAAAGTATTTCCTTATTAATTTCTGTCTCCTTTTGTTTTTTCATCTTTTTTTATTGCAGCACAACACTCAGGTTGTTATTACATTCTACAACCATTAATTAACCAGCATTAATAAGAAATAAAGAAATTCACGTCCTATATCCTTGAGAACCTATATGCTTTATCAAAATATCAAAATATGGGTGTACATATAGTATGGCAGTTGCAGGTACAGAAAGTTTAATTGGTGAGCTGAGTTCAAATTACACCTTGTCAAGACACTCACTAGGTGGTGCTGTTCAGGACTATAAATGATCTGACATAACCCTTTCTCATTCATGTTTTGCTTCCAGATGTAGTAGCAATAACATGTAACTTCCTGGTAAACCAACTACTTAATTTCAAACAAACCATGTGGACAGCACACACATACACATATATGCATGCATGCAACCCCCCATACACACACACACTATCCTAAGTACATAAATATTTTCTTTCCTTTTTTTTTAACTATCTGTATACATGTAAATATGTTAGATTGGCATATAGTAGTGATAACATGAAACTCTTCCTCTCTAAGAAGACACTTCCTGGCAAACCAACTAGGTACTTTTTTTAATCATTTCACCACAAGCAAGGCAATAAAGCCATTAAGATGCAAGTAGTTACTTACTATAAAAGAATATCAGAAAAAAGGAGAGAGAACAATAAAAGAACAAGAATTAAGAAGACAGAAGATAATTAACATTGCATTTTTTTTGAAGATCAAAGTTGACTAGAAATCAAGAAGTTAAAAGAGTTCCACAAGCAAGAAGTGCAATAGAAGAAACTATTAGCATAGAACTTATCATTACATCTAACAATTTCAACTGTAAAATGATGAAACATTGCCACCAATCTACAACTGTGCTTAAATTCATAAAGTCTAGGTACCATAGAGGAAAATTCATCAGAACAATTGCTAGAGGGTGAGGCAGAGAAGATGAACATTCTTGAAAAATAGCTTCAAAAAATTTTATTGACATCAATGTGTTCATATTGAATTAGCATTTGACAAAATCAAACATGGAAGGCATTCTTGGAAGTTGGCTTCCACTCTTTCCAGCATTGCTCTGTCAATTTAGGTGACTTCCATGTGAATAGATTCCTTCAAATTGTCCAATGTGTGGGGCTTATGCTCATACACACATGCCTTGAGGTTTCCCCACAAAAAATAATCACACATGGACAAATCAGGAGACTGAGGAGGTCAAGGAGTGTCAGCAAGCCTGGAAATGAAGTGGTCACCAAATAGAGGGCAAAGAACGTCCATTGATGCTCTTGCTGTGTGGGTTGTAGCCCAATCCTGCTGAAACCACACACATCAGACAGGAATATGTTTTCATCATAATTCAGGCACAAAGATGTAATGCTCATAGGAACAGCATTCCCATTATGGTCTTCAAAAAAGTAAGGACCAATGATACTAGCTTTTCCAACAGTACACCAAACCATCACTTTTGGCCTGTGCAGTGGTCTTTTGTACAGTTCTCTTAGATTTTCAAGAACACAATAATGACATTTCTGTTGATTCACCATGCCACTGAGATGAAAATGCACTTCATCAATCATTAACAAAATGAGGATGTCATTTTCCTCAAAAATTGCTTCCATATTACATGTAAAGTTAAACTGCTGAGCATAGTCCCCTGGTCTCTACTGTTGCCCAATGACCAATTTGTAGGTGAGGGGAGGATGCAGTTTTTCATGCAAAATATGTCTTACTGAACAATTATCAATGGCAAGTTCAGTAGCATGCCTCCAAGCAAAACAATTCAGACTGTGTAGCAATGCTTGTCTGATGTGTTCTACATTTACTGGGGCATGTACCATTAGTGGGGCTCCCCACCAGTCTGCTATTCATTAGTGTATCTCATGTACAAATTGCATGAACCCAATGTAAGATTGTGTTACAAGTGGGAACAGCCTGATTTCAGTGAATGTTGAATCAGTGAAAAAAACTCATGCTGAACTGCTGTGACAGACTTGTTATTCTTCATGAAACTGTCATAGGCAAATATATGGTGCTCTATTGTCCACAGCACCATGGCTTCAACTGAAAAGAATAAATGCTAAGACGCCATGAACCTGTTGAACATACATTCCTCACCTGAGGCTGAGTAGTAGCCAGTTCAATAATATCCATCCTCTTTGCCTCACCCTGTATTTATAGAGAAGGCACAGGGAAGCTATGTTTACAGCATTGGGAAAGTGACTGAAGCTGAGATGCTAGATCAGAACCAATAACATTGCATATTCTTCTTTGGATTTTATCAAGAATCTTTAAATATATAGCAGGAGCACCAGACTATATTTGACAACAATATTCAAAACAATTCATACAAACCATGTGGATAGCATGCACACACACACACACACACACACACACACACACACACACACACTCACACACAATACCTATGTACATAGATGTTTTCTTTCCTTTCTTAACTATCTGTATACATGTCAGTTAGCTTGTTGAACTGAGTTCAAATTCCAGCAAAGCAGGAATCTGTTATAAACGTGGTAGCATGAGAGGGCAAACAAAACAACAAGTATCACTTGTGAGGCAAAAAGAAAACAGGCAAGAATGTTACAATAGTATTCTTTGTATTGCTGATACAGAGGATATGGGCAGAATGTCTCTTTGTGGGTAAGGGAAGTGACTTGGACAAAGGGGAAAATCAGCAGGGTCTGGAGTTGATGTGTTTGTCAGGTCAGTCAACTGAGGTCACTGATGATGAAGCTAACAGCTTGTCTATTTTCTGTGACTGCCTACAGTGTTGTCAACAGCATTATTAAAAGCAAATTGGGTGGATCATAACTCATCATTCTTTATTTCCTGTTTTTACATTAGCAGTAACATTTGTGATTAGCTTTTATATTGTATTTTACATTTTTTTTTTAGGGGATTTGATTTGTGAGCTGGATATGATACTCAGAACACCTGCATAGAGGGCAACTTTTTTTAATTTTGGTTTTGCTTTCTTAGCATTCATATCCAGCTGACATGTTTTGATGTAGAGTGAATTAGAAAGAGATCTAGTTTGAATGTAGCAGAAACAAAATGCAAATGGAGCAGCCAATCACTACTGATAACAGTATCTGCCCCTGTCAGTCAAAGAGACAATGTGGGCACCTGACCAGTACGCTTCACATATATGGGTTGAAAGTTGGAGAGGTATTTATTCATGAGTAACCTATCTTGGGCAAGTAGACCTGGTGCGGACCATCCCTCTCAAGTCTGCTCCATTGTGCTATATGGTTATTGACCCTACAAGAAGGTTCATCCACCCTTTGACAGGTTTTGTTTTTAATCCTGCTTGATGACTGGACACCCACCTATCCTAACTAGTCAAGTCAATGAGGACACAACCATGTGACAGATTGTATTGTGTTACATGGTACCAGCATTGCCTATAAAGTGACTTGATAAATTTAGAAATTACAAACTCTAAAAAAGAAAAAAAGGAAGCATGGAGTTAAATCCTTCTCACTCTGCAATTAAAACCAGTGATTACTGGCAGCTCCTAACAGCTCAGAGAACAAAATAAAATGGGTTATTTTACCCAACTGGTGGTCAAATATGGTAATTCATCTTGGATGGTGTATAATAATATTTGAGGAAAAGCAAAAAAAGTTTACGTGTAAAAGATTTAATAAAGTACTATTTATTCACAAACTGGGTTTTTAATACAGACCTTGAAAGTTTTGATTCTCCTGTATATTTCATTTCTTCAAATTTTTTCTGAAGGGCAGCTTTCTCCTCCTGAAGTCGGACAATCTGTTTCTCATTCTCCCTTTTCAGTTCTTCAAGGTGAGCAGTTGTGGCTCCTTGGTTTTCAAAACGGTACACAACTTCCTTTAAGGGATATCAAATTAATCATTCTTATTTTTAATTTATTTTTTACAAATCTATAGAAAAAAACAATTTTTTCTCACAAATTTCTAAGCTGCATATACACCAACTCTTAAATTTGCAGAAAATAGGAATAAAGAAAAGCTATAACCTTCTTCTAATTGCTTAATATTTTAAAAATAGAAAAAACATGGACCTGGAGTGCTATCAACTCTAATGATATCACTTTGTCTATCTTGATGTTTCAGAATTTAAAAATAATTCAACTTGAACCCTATCAACTCTAAAAATATCTCTCTATATATTATCTACCAATTTCCTGATACTTAAAAAAAATAGAAAAAACATTGACCTAGAGTGTTATCATCCTTACTGATATCACTATGTACTCTATATTATTGTTGTATTTTCTTCAGATATAGAGTTAGGAGGGCATATGTTCAATTTTATATTACACTGAAAATAAAACATAACCTAAATCCCTACCAGTATAATTGTATATACTGTAATGGAAGTCTTTAAATATGTGAAGAGTATAGTCTGTCAGATTACCACCCCCTGACAATAATCACAAGTAGCACAATATTTGAAAGGCTCTTTCTCTTTTCCCTTTGACATTTCAAGCAGCAACACATTTCCTTTTGCTCCAATAGACATGTGGCATGTAAGCACTTCAGCAACACAGACTGAAAATTGCATTGAACTGTTCATAACTTTATTTTTCTGTAACATGTTTTGTTAATACATTTACTAATTGTTGTTTGTTTGAATACCATATTTTGTGAACTTTTTTTACCCAGACTCATATGAGTCCACACCAAATATTATTTGTGGGACAAATGTACCAGATGGCATGAAATAATAATACTTTCCACTCACATAAGTCTATAAATAACATCTTTTAAACAAGATTATAAACAAGGAAGATGTCCATATTTAATTTGTGCAATTATTGACCACTATGGTATATGACTTTACAACAGCAAATTTTCAGCAAAATGTTTACTTTATATGATTACACATAAAAGTAAAGATTTAATTTAACTAAACAGGCAGATACAAAGTAAGGATTGGATTTACGTTGGAAAAATAAATGATTAAATAAAAAGATGAGGATCTGGTTTAGCTAAATAGGCGGACACAAAGTAAGGGACCTGTTTAGCATTGGTTTTGCATCAGAAAAATATCATAGAAGATCTTCAGCAAAATGTTTACTTTATCTCAGGCATGTCAAACCCTTTACAAGCACACCTGCGACCCACACAAAGGATACTAATTTGGTCATTTAACAGCTAAAATTACAGTTTTTATCATTTAGAAATTACAGCATTTAAGAAAATAAATCATGTTTTTTACATTTTTATTTATTTTAATAGAATATCAAATAAGAATACCATTTACTACATAAATTTCTTTAAAATAATTTTAATATTATCAACAAACTTTAAGTTAGTATGGTACTAAGCTATTATTTTAAAAAATGTAGCAAATATTTGATATTCTTGGTGGCTGAGGAAATAATTTGGGAACAAATTCTCTCCAGTAGCCATGCCACCAGCCATCACAACACAAATAATATGGCAGCTCATTAACAGTTGTAAACAGAAAACTTTCTTTCAAAATTTCAAGTTTTGTTTTTAAAGGCGAAATGTCAGCCCCAAAAGTTTTAGAGGCACTATCAAAATTGATTTATCTCTTTTTACTGTTAACTGTAGTTTAAATGTGCCAGTAATTTTTCAGATTCCATGTCATCAATTTTGAAAATTAGTTTTTCCTACTACTTCAACCCTAAAATGGCTAGTGCTCCTCCAACTAAGAGAAAAAGGATATTGAACAAAAAAGAAACGAGTGTTTCAAAAAAAGTGGGAATTATAGTATTTTTTGCACAACAGTGAATGAAAAGTTACATTGTTTAATTTGCAACAACTCCATCACCACATCAAAAGAGTACAACCTTAAAAGACATTATGAAACAAATCATCTATCTTACAATAAATATGAAGGCCCAATGCACGTTTCAAAACTCAAGGAATCAAAGGCTAACTTGAAACAGTAACAGACTTTTTTCATAAAAATTCAGAAACAGAAAGTTGCTTCCATTATTTCAAGCTATGAACTCAGCCAAATTATTATCTATTTCATTGTTACCTCATGGATGACTGCTATCTAAACACTACACCACAGTGAAATACCACAATATTTACTCAGTCCTGTTAACAAAGCTTAGAATATAATCTTACAGTCCTGTTTCTTTCAATCAATAGCCAAGGGGAATTACTAACTGAACTCTTTATTTAATATATGGGGTCAGATTGTTCTTGTTCAACAGTCCATGTCTAGGGATATCTTATCTTGTTCTTATTTAGTACTGCTCAGTTATTGCTTGCCCTGATTCCACCAATCAATAACCGAGGGGAATTACAAACTGAACTCTTTATTTAATCTCTGGGGGTCAGATTGTTCTTGTTCCACAGTCCATGTCTAGGGATATCTCATCTTGTTCTTATTTTAGTACTGCTCAGTTATTGTTCAGCCTGTTTCCCCCAATCAATAGCTGAGAGGAATTACAAACTGAACTCTTTATTTAATCTCTGGGGTCAGATTGTTCTTGTTCAACAGTCCATGTCTAAGGATATCTCATCTTGTTCTTATTTAGAACTGTTCAGTTACTGCTCACCCTGTTTCCACCAATCAATAGCCGACAAGAATTACAAACTGAATACTTTATTTAATCTTAGTGGTCAGATTGTTCTTGTTTGACAGTCCATGTCTAGAGATATCTCATCTTCTTCTTATTTAGCATTGCTCAATTATTTCTCACCCTGTCTCCACTGTGTCTCAGTCTGCACCACCCAGTCCATGGATTGAACTCACAATTACCATGTTACCAAATTCACAAATGAACACTTACTCCATGAAAGAAGGCCAGAGAACACAACAACCAAAATTTTTTAATAATAACAAAATGAGGACATTAGTCTTAATATAAATAATGGTAAATTCTCATCACAGAAATTCTGGCAAAACTCACCATTGTATCTGACACGCCGGTAGCTTCTTTGATACGTCGAAAGGCTTCTTCATAAGTTGTGATCTTTTGCTGTTGCTCTTCTCCGGACAAAGTTGGTTTATCCATGGCACCAATTTCATCTTGTTGGAATGAGGCCCGTTGTGACTGGAATATAACCAATAAATTATACAATTGCACATTTCTTTAATATTCATACCCTTCAAAACAGTAAAAGATATATTTCTAATTAATCACATCAAAAAAAAATCAAATTTAAAATTTCAACACTCCAACATCTTCAGCATTTACTATCAGTGCATAATAATAACCAACACTTGAGTTATTCTGTCTCCTCCTCCTCTTACTACACATATATAATTGCATCAACAGAAACATTACTTTAGTCTGATGAAGTCAAAATGCATTACACAGAATTTTTCCACTTTGTCATTCATTTGTCTAACATTTCTTATTAAAAAAAAGATGACTGGTGGTTAGTAAATTGAATATTTGTGAAATGGAGATGGAAATAAACAGCAAGACACTTGGAAGCTAAATAAAAAAAATGGTTTCTAAATTGGAGGATTCGCTCATCCATGCTTCCAGTCAATAAATTAATCATTTGAAAATAAATATTTAACATTTTTCAGCCAATAGGTTGTGTTCTTGCCAATAATAAAAATTTGCTTTGTGATCACCTTGAAGAGTATATAAGTAAAGTCTCTAGATGAATAAAATCAATAAGGAGATGGATACATGCAACATCAGTTCACCATGCATCGGCTTCAAAGAGGTTCCCTTACTCATTCACTTGTCTTCCTCAACAAGCTATGTGACACTTACACTCTTCCTCACCAAGTTACATGACACTTACACTTTCTTCCTCACTTTATTCCTTGCCTCTTTTTTTCACACATACATGTGAAAAAATCACATTTCTTTTCATCTTAACCAACAACTACAAACAAGGAAATTTGACACTCATACATGCTGAGAAAAATTTAATTGTAAAAAACACAAAAATAAAAATATTTTATATTTTTATATTTAATAACCTTTCCTGTCTTTGTTTTTGCTGTGAATTCATTCAAATCTGCTACATATTAAACAAAACTTCAATATGCATGTATCAAGCATTTAAGAATACCAAAAATGATGTAGTGCAAGACGCCATCAGACAAGAAGCAGGCCCATTGTAAGACATCATATCTATCATGAAGAAGAGAAAGTTGAAATGGTATCGCCAAATCATAAGAGCAATAAATATTTCTGCTCACATTCTACAAGATTCCATCTTAGGAAGATCATTCACAAAAAATCAGACATTGGCATGCAATAAAAACATATAGAGGGAGATGGCCATATACTCAGCTATGCAATCACCCAATGATCACACCTAATCTCTGAACTGCTATAATTTCTTGGGAAGTTGGGCCAGGTATTTAAGGACTCCACAAATGATACAGAGCAAGACACCATTAGAAAAAAAAGCAGGACTTTTGGAAGACCACATATCCACCATCAAGAAGAGAAAATTAAAATGGTATGATCACATGTAAGAGCAAAATTCTTCTGCTGCCAACTTACAAGGTTCCATCTTAGGCAAAAGAAGTAGAAGCAGACAGAGTAAAAAATGGTCTAGCATGCCTGAGTGGACTAGAAGATTCTTCACAAAGACTTAGACATTGGCATGCAACCAAGATATATAAAGTCACATGCACAGACTCAATGATCACATTTGGTTATGGGACTGATGAGGATAATGATTTAGGGGGTCATAAATGAAAGTTAACCTTATTTAATTGTTATGTGACATACACCAAATTTTAACATTCTCATTTCTCTTTCAGATGTATCAAGTGCATTAACAAAAGAAAAAAGGAAACATATTAGCAAAGAAAGTTAGAAAGAAAAAAGAAAAGAAAAAGAAAGAAAAATGTTAGAAAATCAAAGAAAGAAAGAAAGGTGTTAGCATGGAATGACAGAAAGAAAAGGAAAGAGAAAAGGAAAGAAAAGAAAAAGCAAAAAGAAAGGATGAAAGCAAAAAGAAAAGAAGAAAACAAAAAGGAAGGAATGTGTTAGAAAAAGAAAGAAAGAAGGAAAAGAAGAGAAAAAAGAAAGAAACACATGTGCAAATTCATCATCTTGTAGATGATAAATTAGCTTCCACCCTACAACCTTTTTCCCACAGGTGAAACATTGCAAGGATCTTGCTGCTCTATTGCTATTTCCATAGAAAGTGTTCAGACAAACTACATTCCTTAGTTCCACCAGTTCTAACCTTCACAGCTAAGACCAACCATGCTAGGCACATTGGAATGACCCACCATTATTCCAATCATATTCCATTGGCGAGATGTAAGTTCCACTCAAGCAGCTTCTTCCTATGAACTACTGCTTTGAGGAACTGACTCCCAAGAGGATGCTTCCCTGATCACTAAAATCTTCACCTGTTCAAGTCTAGGGTTAACTGTTATCTTCTCTACATATTCATATAAACTTACCTCTTACTCTGTAACCTACTACCTTGAGTGGCTCATGGGTCTTGTAAAGAGTGAACATCGTTATAAAAAAATAAAAGGATGTATCTGTGGGGAAAATAGAAATGGTTTACCTCACAAACGCCCTCGTGTCTGCCTAGCCTGTGGGTTGAGAAAGGAAAGAAAAGATCCAAGATGGCGTCCGTGACTTTTAATATTCACGGTCTCGTGCAGTCACGCAAAGTCGCATTACACACATGCTAATGAGGTGTGTCTGGGCTCCATAAAAGCAGGTTGCTTGGAGAAATTGGCAGAACGGCATTACACCCGTGTTTGGTGTACACGGCTTTGCGTTGCAGCGTGTCAGACATTTTCAGATGGAAAGAGTTGCGTCCCTTACACTGTTGAAGTCGACTCATTTGCTACAGTATCAAGTGCATTAATATGGTATTTTCCTATGTGACACAGGAAATGAAAAGGTATACCAAGCTTGTGACACTGGCAACCAACTATAGTGACTCAGAGAGTGCAAACATCTTGAAAGTGACCAGATGAATAGGAGAAATACTAAGTGGCTGAGTATGGAGCTTACAAAAAGAACCACAGTGATACTATATTTATATCATTCTCTTAAGGTCCTAAGGATAATGATGATAATGACATGCTGTCCAACTTTTTCCCCATTTCCTTTTCTTTATTACCTTGACTTTTTGGGAAAGATAATGGAGTAGTTTCTTGCTACCTTCATGGTTTGGAATTCAGTTTTTTTTTCTTACACTGGCTGCTACCAAAGACTAGAAAACTGTATCTACCCTATTATTTAACCACTTTCTTAATATCATGTCTCGTCAAGATATAGGTAAACATAACTCTACACAGATTCCTTTTCTTATTTCTGAATTTCTATGATTTTTTGGGAAAGACAGTGGAGTGGCTTCAAATTGCATTCTGTGATTTGGAATTCAGAATTTTCCTACTCTTAGATTGGCTACCACCCAAGGCTAGAGAGTTGAGTCTACCCTACTATTTAGCCATTTTCTTGATATTAAATCTCCATCTTTCTCCAAGGTAAAGACAATTATGACTCTCCACAGATTCCTTTTCTTATCTCCAAATTGCTATGATTTCTTCAGAAAGATAGTAGAGTAACCTCCCATTGCCTTCTCCATGGTTCAGAATTCACATTTTCCTTTCTTTTAGACTAGCTTCCAGCCAAGGCTAGAAAGATATAGGCAAACATGACTCTCTACAGATCCCATTTCTTGTTTCTGAATTGCTATGATTTTTTGGGAAAGATAGTGGAGTGGCTTCAAATTGCACTCTCCATGGTTTGGAATTCAGAATTTTCCTTCTCTTAGACTGGCTGCCACCCAAGGCTAGAGAGATGAGTCTACCCTACTATTTAACCATTTTCTTAATATTAAATACCATGTCTCTTCATGATCATGGGCCTCCACAGATTCCTTTTTTATGAAGATGGGAATAGTAAATAAAATCACAAAATAATGCCAAAAGTCTCAAATAAAATAAAATAGAAATAAATAATTTGTTTAGTTACATTAAACCGTCTTTCAATGCGGTCATGGAGCATCTTCTTCTCTTCAGCTTCTTTTCTCTTTTCCTGTAAAGCAAGATCTCGTTTCTTTCGCTCTTCTGCAACGAGGTTCTCCTGCTTTTTCAAGTCTCTCAGTGCATTCTCTTTAGACAGTTGTGCATCATTATGCATACCTTTCAATTCTTCAAGCTCTAATTGACACTGCTTGATTTGTTTCTCCAGATTTTCAAGAACCAATGGCCAAGTCAAAGAATCCTCAATTAAAATAAATAAAAAAGAATGAATAAAACCATGAAAATGCAAGGGGTTAATGAATGTGAGAGAATATGAGACAAAAAAATATTACAGAGAGAGGACAATAAAAGAACAGAAATTAAGAAGACAGAAGATAACAGTTGACATTGCATTTAAATTTTAAATATGAATAAGAGAGTCTTTTTTATTTCATGTAGTATAAAAATTTTATTTTTATTATTTTAAAAATGTTAGAATTGTAAATGTATAATCGTATAGGTTGTTTTTTAATACACATTTCTGAGAGAAGTGTATTATTCTGGAGGTTAGACACTTTGTGTGAAAATTGTTGCATTTTTGTTATGGTCCAAGTTCCTTGTACCACGGTGATGGTCCAAAGTTAGAACCAATGAAAGAATAACATGAACGGAGTACAAAGATATATTACAACAGAAATATAATACAAAGAAGTAGAAGTATTAGTAATGACTATCAGATTTAGTGAGAGTGAACAATGTTGTCTTGACAAGTATCACTATTCCAATGTCCTTACAATATGCTCTCAATTGTCGCTCCTTGTCTTACAATCTCTCATACCTCTTGAGAGGCGCAGTATTTATAATGTCAGGGATAGTCCATTATTATTATGTGTAAGTTCCCATAACAATTTTTTATGGCCTTGTAGGCTCAAGCGTTTGATACCACCAAGATTGTTTGATTTGTTGTGGATTCATTTTTTTTTATATTTGGAGAAGGGTTTTTTATATATTGACCAATGAGAAACAAGACCCTTGTAGCGGACCATGGGGTGGCAATGTGAAGAACACACATGAGTTAAATTTTCCTGCTAGCCGGTCCAACTACATGAGAAAGTTGGACTTTCAAAAGAAGACAAACAAAACAAACAAGACCGATAAATATATGTATTAATAACAAGTTACAAGTTACAAGTTACAAGCACATGGACAGTTACATGGACAGAGTGTGTGTGGCGAATATTATGTGTGTGTGTTGTGGTGAGTGTTCATACGTACGTGTATTGTTCTTAGTGTGTTCCCAGAATTTGGGAAATGCTCTATCTGTGAGCGTTCACATCTGCGAGGTGGTATAAGGCCAAAGGCCTGAGGAAAAAAAAGAGGTCGAGGCGAAGGGTCAGCCAGTATTTATAGCCAGGGGAGAGAGACCCATGGTGAAGGGTTAAGGAGCTGAGGAGGAGCTAACTCCAACACTCTTGTGAAATTCTGGCTAGAGCTAGCATGACCCAGATTTTTCAATAAAAAGGATTTCTATGAGTGGATAAGATCAGAAGAGAAGAAAGGAATGGGCCATTGACAAGGAAGCAACTAACAGAGGAGGAAGAAAGCATTTAATGACCACACTTCAAAGGACTAGTCTAACCAAAGGAGGTCATAAAACAATGTAGGGGAAAGAAAGAGCAGACAAATCAATTCTACCCTATAACTGAAATTACTTTCTGTGCATTCCTGAGAAGAATTTGAGCCAAAAGAACTCTCTAGATAACATTGTAGCAAAATACTTCAAAAGGCCCTTGAGAAAACAACTTTAAAACACAAAACCCCTTCGAGCTGAAACGTTTCCTTTGGCTATTCTGTTAAGAACGAAAGTGGGTACATTTTTAAATTTCTGTCTTGTGCAATTTTGTTATTGCATACTCCAAGTTTTCCCCTTTTTCTAATTTTAAAGGGTTTCATTTTTGGTCTTTGAATCTGTCTTTATCAAGCAATTTGTAACATATTTTTTCTTGTTTCTGTAGGTAATCCCTTTCTTGTAACCTCAGAAAATTGTTATCCTGCTGAAATAGGCACACAAAAAGAAATTTTTGTGTAACCTTTGTATTGTACCTTTTCATATTTGTAAATTGAAAAATAAATGTATTTTTCCCTGCTACATTTTTATACAGTGGTCATCTTGTTTCTTAATTTTGTGCCTACTATCTTAAGTTATGTTTCTCCAAACTAAGCTTTGTGTCTGGCACAAGAACTTGGAGTTGGTAGGAAAGTAAAATTTTAAAATAGTAGAACCACTTTTATGTACAATGAACCAAAATTTAAAGATGGGATATCTGTAGACGTATCTAGGGAATAGAACAGTGTACTCAACAGTTTTTCTTAGAATTCACTTTGTTTTATAGACAATTTTTTTACAAATAATCATTAATTCCCTTTTATTAATTTACCTTCTGCATGCATTATATTGCCTTATGCTGACTAAAGTCACAATGGTAAGATCCAAGAGCTTGCACTGTTGCAATGAGTGGCATTCTTAAAAGCAAGTGTCTTGGCTCCTGAGCTCATATTTTGTTCATGTTTTTTCTTTGACAGCAATGTTTGTGATTGGCTTATTTTATGTTCTTATTTTATATTTTTGAGGGGATTTAGTTTGTGGGCTGGATGTGATACTTGGAACCCCTGTGCAGCAGACAACTTTTTTTTATTTTGTATTTTGCTTTCTTAGCGTTCACATCCAGCCAACATATAGTGAATCAGAAAGAGATCTAATTTGAAGTGGAGTATAAAAATATTAAGTATAGTAAATATTGATTTAATTCAAAAGAGACTTACCTCTTTTAGTTTATGAAGGATCTGATCATAGGTGTGGCATAGGTGATCTGCTTCATGGATTTTTAGTCGAGCTTTGTCACAGCTATTTTCCAGGTATCTTATTCTCTGTAAAAGCAAACAAAAATATTAAAAATAATATTATTTATCAGAGTTACTGTATATGCAGATAGTGTTGTCATTAGTGTCTTTGAACAAGAAGTCAGTGAGTTGGGTTTAAATTCTAGTTGAGTTTGTTCCATTCACTTTCACATAAATACCCTTGTTGAGAAATTTACTCTATCACCTGTAATAATTGTAACAAGGAGTACATTGGAGAAACTGCAAGGAATTTAAATAAAAGATTAAAAGAACACAAAAGAGATCTTTTACAGAACCACAAAGTCAATGAATTAGTTGCTTACTGCAATGAGTCTGACCATAATTTTGATTTAAAAAATGCTACTTTAGTCAAATGAAAGTAATTTACTAAGATGGAAGTGTATAGAAAGTGCTTTAATCACCAGATCATCCACAGTAAATTTATGCCCAGGTTCTTACAACATTTCACCTTTCCTGACAGGTTTTCTATTATCATAATATGGGATATTTAATAACAAAAGAGATAAAAACATAAACAAAAAGAAACTAAATTAAATCAGGTAGACTATATACCCAAACACATTTTAAAAAAAAAAGAAAAAATTTTAAAATTTAAATCTGAAATTTCAGCATCCCCTCTCCTTCATGCACATGTGTAATCATATCACTTTAATCTGATGAAGTCCTAAAGGATAACAACAGTACTCAGTTTTGGTCTCATCTGACCCTTGTAAAGATGAAGTGCCACAGAAGGGCTCTATTAAAGCTGCAAAATGAAGATTGTGCAGCTCCAACCCAGATATGGCAGTAATATTCCACTTTTGGTCTGATCTGACACTTATAAAGGTGGAGTCCAGGTACTTCCCAGAGCAATATAAGAAGCTGACCATTTTCCCAGCATCTTTAGTAATGGATTGTAGATATGAGTTTCACATGAGATCTGGGGTGCACTTGAGGCCCAGTAGACATTCAAACAAAGAGGCTCATTGAAAGTACCATTCATTATGACTGGTGAAAATTTAGGGTTAACTTGGTGATGGTAAAAATTTATTAGCTTGGTTTTTGAAGTACTAAAAGTTACATTGATTGTGTGTAGTTTGATATATGAATGTTTGGACATGTGAACAAATGCTCTTTTATACAAATTTCTAATCAGCCAATGACATGGCAGGGATTTAGTGGATATAGGTATTTAAACATGCTCATGGCTACCAGCTGAATTCCATTTCATGCATAGGAAAGAAAGGTGATTTAAGTGACTTTGAATATGACATGGTCATTGGTGCCAGACAGACAGGATTGAGTATTTCAAAAACTCCTCATCTACTTGGAATTTCACATATAATCATCTCAAGGGTTTATAGAGAATGGTTCAAAAAGGAAACAAATTCCAGTGAGTGGTAATCCATGGAGATGAAAGTGGTTGGAGGAGAATGACCATGCTGGTTCAAACTGATAGAAAGGCAACAGTAACTTAAATAACTACTCTTTACAATGGAGGTATACAGAAGAGCATCTTTGAACACACAATACATTGAAGCTTCAAGCAGTTGAGCTATAGCAGTAGAACACCATGCTGGGTGCTGCTCCTGTCATATAAGAACAAGAAGCTAAGGCCAATATTTCCAATATTAAAAAATATTGGACAATAGAAAACTGGAAAAATTATAGGAAATAAACCCTATTTCTAACACAGTTACATACCTACATATATACCATATTAAATCATACCCAAACTTTATTTTCTACCCAATAACAGACAATATTATAAATATGCCAACAAGATTCTGCAATACAACACACAATTTAAATCAAAGTGTCTGTTGGTCAGAAATTAATGTCACTATATGAAATATTTAATCAATTGGAGAAAACTAAAACCCTATTTTTCTTGAGCTTATTTTCAGGAAATATTTTTTATAAAAACCCCAAAAATTTTGACTTTCAAAGAGCAGAGATGCAGCTGTCCTAAGCCAAACATAAAAGAGAGCTGCAATTGTTTCCCCACAGTACATCCTGAAAGAAATGTTTTGGTGACTTCAAATTAATCAGTTGCACAACAGCTTGGACAATAAGTGAATCTTCACTGATGATTACGCGTTAGCGACTTCAACCAAATCATCTCCAACAACAATAACAACAAAGATGGTCAATGAATCTTTGCTAACAATAAAAATCTTTTTTCAACCTCAGATTTTTTCTGTGGACCAACTATTTAAAAATATTTTCTAAAGAACAGATTTTTCTGAGTACCAACTACCCAAAGATTTTAACTTATCTAAAGACTATTTTTATTCCTTTTAAACTCATATACATATGTTTGTAAATGCAAATGATTTATTTAACAAACATAATTGTTTTCATTATTTTAATTTTATTATTGTTTGGAATTCAGCTGTTTGGATTTTTAATATCACAAAACCTGAACAATTTTCTTTTTTTTTTTTAGATAATAATGTTTTTAATCATAAAAGTGCAACTAATTAACCCATAGATGGGGAAAGAGGTGGACTCATACCTTTCTCAAGGGTATTTGCACATAAACAATATAATGAACCCAACAGGAATTGGCACTCAACTCTCTGATTAGCAATTCTGAGCCATTATCCAGTACACCACCTGCACATCCAAGCTTACAGCACCTGGTATTCTCAAGTGGTCACCGTTCTAGGTACAGACCAAGCTCAATGTTGTTTAAACAGTGATTGTACAGGAACTAGTGTTTCAACATGATATGGCTGTAAGCCTTTAAAGGTAAAAGGGGATCCAGCCTAGGGCAAGAAAAGTATACCTATTAAAGTGGTTAGTGAGTGTATATTCTTTTTTGTTTTGCTAGATATTTGTTTTGGCCATCTTGTATATATTGTATAGAGATACCACCATCATAATGAAGTAGCAGGCCTAGTTTGGAATTGCCTACTGAACAAAAGAAGAAGTTCAATGTAGAAAAAGACAGATATCATTTTGTTGCTTGTGATGAATAGAAAATAATATTAAGATCTTAGAATCAATATATTTTTTAATCATTTCTCCCCAACCAAGGCAATAAAGCCACTAAAACACAAGGGATTACTGAGTGTGAAAGAATATGAGAAAAATAAAATATTATTAGGAAGAGAGAATAGTAAAGAATTAAGAAGGCAGAAGATAACAATTGACATTTAAATTTTTAAAGATCAACTTTGCTTGGAAATTAAAAAGCTGGAAAAGAGTTCCACAAGATGTGCAAGAGGAGAAACTATTAGCATAGAACTTTTGTTACATCTAACAATTTCATCTGTAAAATGATGAGACATAGCTGCCAACCTAGTACTGAGCTTAAATTCATAAAGTCAAGATACCAAAGAGGAAAGTTCATCAGAACAATTACCATGAAAATAATTATATAATTGTTGATCCTAATCAGTGGTAACCAATAATGTAGCATCATTTGTCAGTCCTCAAGGTAGTGTATACTTGGACTCAGTAGAAACAGGTCAGTTTCTACACTGTTTCTACTGAGTCCAAGTATACAGTGCCTGTGGAACAACAATCTACTGCCATAACTTAAATAAAGAGTTCAGTTTGTAATTCCCCTTGGCTATTGATTGGTGGAAACAGGGTGAGCAATAACTGAGCAGTACTAAATAAGAACAAGATGAGATATCCCTAGACATGGACTGTGGAACAAGAACAATTTGACCCCCTAGAGATTAAATAAAGAGTTCAGTTTGTAATTCCCCTCGGCTATTGATTGGTGGAAACAGGGTGAGCAATAACTGAGCAGTACTAAATAAGAACAAGATGAGATATCCCTAGACATGGACTGTGGAACAAGAACAATTTGACCCCCTAGAGATTAAATAAAGAGTTCAGTTTGTAATTCCCCTCGGCTATTGATTGGTGGAAACAGGGTGAGCAATAACTGAGCAGTACTAAATAAGAACAAGATGAGATATCCCTAGACATGGACTGTGGAACAAGAACAATTTGACACCTAGAGATTAAATAAAGAGTTCAGTTTGTAATTCCCCTCAGCTATTGATTGGTGGAAACAGGGTGAGCAATAACTGAGCAGTACTAAATAAGAACAAGATGAGATATCTCTAGACATGGACTGTGGAACAAGAACAATCTGATCCCCAGAGATTAAATAAAGAGTTCAGTTTGTAATTCCCCTCGGCTATTGATTGGTGGAAACAGGGTGAGCAATAACTGAGCAGTACTAAATAAGAACTAGATGAGATATCCCTAGACATGGACTGTGGAACAAGAACAATTTGACCCCCAGAGATTAAATAAAGAGTTCAGTTTGTAATTCCCCTCGGCTATTGATTGGAAACAGGGCAAGCAATAACTGAGCAATACTAAATAAGAACAAGATGAGATATCCCTAGACATGGACTGTGGAACAAGAACAATCTGACCCCATATATTAAATAACCCCCCCCAATTACCCCAGAGATTAAATAAAGAGTTTAGTTTGTAATTCCCCTTGGATATTAATTGGTGGAAACAGAATGAACAATAAGTGAATATTACTAAATAAGAACAAGATTATATATTCCTAGACATGGTTAGCAGGACAAGAACAATCTACCCCTGTAGATTAAATTAAGTTTTCTTTTTGAAGCTCTTTAAAGGTTACTTGGATTAACATCTGCCTGACTCAACTTATTTTTATCAGAGTCAGATCAGGCCAAAAGTGGAATATTTCTGCCATATCTGGGCTGGGTCTGTCCAATCCCCCCTTTCCAGCATTAATATAGTGTAAAAGCTTTTACATGGCAATGTAGGCAAGAAATTATTTCCTACTTTGCAACCCAGTTCTCACAGGAGATATGTCATAAGCCTCTTGCTACTCAATTACTATTTCCATAGAAAATGTTCTAATGAGCTACATTTGCTTATTCCACCAGTTCAGACTGTTACAGCTAAGACCATGTACACAGGAGCAAACCATTCACATTCCTTTCTTATACCAGTGACAAAAGCTGCTGCTTTGTGAAACAGACTCCTGACTCCTGAGATAATGCTTCCTTGACCACTACACTCATAATCTCTTCACATCTAGAGTCAACGGTTATTTATCCTACATATACTGTAGTTCTTACATCCTTAAAACAACCCCACCCAGTAATCCTTTGCCTTGAAAATTTAAATTGTTGCTGTAATAGAGTATGTAAATTAGATAGACAAGTATAAATAGAGAACAGATGGCAAACATAAGGGCTATGTCTAGCAAACTCGTTTGCTAAACATAACATGGAGAACTGTACTATGACTGCTACTACACAGATAGATATACAAAACATAACAATGGCGTTGCTGATATGATCGTTAAATTTGCTGGATGACCCAGAACACATAGAAACATAGATAAGAACTTTTGCTGCATTTGCAAGAATAAGAAAATGAAGAGAGACTGAGATCACCATTAAAGAGAAGACAATAGGAAGGACAGCAAAGTACAAGAATAATCAGGAATAGTAAAAGAAAAAACTAGGGTATACAACCTCTCCAATTCAGGGAGGTGTAGTACTGTATGCAAATTAGATAGACAAGTATAAATAGAGAACAGTTGGTGAACATAAGGTCTCTACCTAGCAAACCTGTTTGCTAAACATGGAGAACTGTACGACAACTGCTACTACACAAAGAGATATGCAAAATATAACAGTTGCTTTTCTTTGCAATCTGGTGATAGGTGCATATTGGAAAGTGTTGAGTGTATTTGACAAGGAGATTATCCTAGAGTGGGTGTAGCTCCTTTAGGGGCAGAGCCTAATTGAGATCAATGGGTTCAAATGGCTTAAACCAACCCTGACAAGAAGAATGTTTCAAAAATATTTCTATGATTTCTTCAAACCTGAGCCTCTTGTGATTCTCCCTTGTCAGTTGCCCGAGCTAGGGATGCATCTTTGACTTGAAGGTTAAACTTTGTCGTCAACTCTGTTAACTGCTTCTTTTTTTGAGCCACTTGATGTTTCAAGGAATTTAGTTGTTTTATTCCATCAGATACCTTGTGGTCCAGGACAGTAATGGCTTCCTACAAGAAAGAAAATATTTAATAAAAAAAACACAAATCCTGCATTCAGTAATGTTATTGCTTTTTATTATATATATATATATATATATATATATATATATATTCATTTTAAGACATTTTTATGTTTATACATTCTTTTTATAGATACAAATATTTAAGTAAATGCTCTGTTTATAATAAACAGTATTAAACATTTACCGGCCTGAATGTCCAAGAAATTTTCAGGCCAGTAAATGTTGTTTAATACTGTTTATTATAAACAGAGCATTTACTTAAATATTTGTATCTATAAAAAGAATGTATAAACATAAAAATGTCTTCAAATAATTATCGGACTTTGTCCATTTTATAATGTGTGATGTCATATATATATATATATAAAATACCAAATCTTTAAGTAGTAAGGATTATTCCATGGTGGTCTTTTCAATATAAACATATTGAAAAGTCAAATCCATGAAGAGAGCTCAATGTATAAAATTATATATAGCACAATATAAATAATAGTAAGGAAAAAAACTTAAAACATCATATAAATTGGTTATAAATTTATTTCAGCAGATATACATATCTATACCTGCCTTATCAGGCTGACTACTAAATGATACAAATTGGTTAATTTGCTGTGTAACATCCACACTCAGTCTGCATTAAAAATTTCCAAAATACTTATATTTATGTGTAATTGTACATGATCCATTCAAATCTGGCTTGATAAAGTTGATAAAATCTACTGTTTTGGAGTTATCGACAGTGAAATTTGGGAACTCAGTTACTCAGCGTTAATTTTTATTTTTCTAATTTTACTTTTATTAATGATGTACAAAGTTCCACACTTTAAGGGAAAAATTCTTGGCTGGGTCAGTCTTTTTCATTACTTCCTCCTTCCCTTTCATTTCATACCCTCTCTCTATATCACTTTTTGAAAGAACCTGTCCATCTGTCACTTTTCTTCTTCCCTCCTTTTCTCTTCTCTCTTGCCCCCCCCCCCGGCAATCTAATATATCAGTCTGGAGTATTGTCACCATTTACTAAGAGATTTTGGTCTGAAGAGTTGAATATATAGATATTCTCAAAATAAATTATAACTGAAATGAGTCTTTATGGTTTTTTGATTTATTATATTATATATATATATATATATATATATATATATATATGATATGGATTAATTCTGACAATTATTTTAATATATTTTCCATTTAGACATTATACGTCATATAATTTATTTAAATGCTCTATTTTTTAAAGGAACAGTATTAATTACATCTACTGGCCTGAATTTCTACAAAAATTCTTGTACATTTCGGTTGGTAAATGTAATTAATACTGTTTAATTGAAAAACAAACCATTTACTTAAAAAAATTATATCTATAAAAATAATGTATATTCAGAAAATATATAAGACATTGCACATTGAGTGCTGGTGTTAATAAAATAGTACTTGATGATATATAACAGTGCTATTAAGTATATATTAATAAATATACATATTATCCCTCAACAGTAGCACGAGTTTAATGCACAACGCCATCTTCAGGTGCTGGATAGAGATTGACCATTACAGAATTTAAATTTTAATAAAATATCTGGTTAACACAATGCTGCCACAGTCTATACAGGGTGTAAAGGATAAATTGATGTCTAAATTACACAAAAATGAAAATGATACTGACATATCATTTTAGCAGATATATTGACCAAAATTACACAAAAATATCTTGAAATACTGGTGAGGAAATTTATTCAATAAAATTGCTATTGGCTTCAACCACTGCCTTCAGACAACTTCAGAATCTCCTGTAACTCTTCTGTCCTTATGTAAGTTGGTAAATGCTGCCATAGTCTTTGCCTTCAGTTCATCTTTGGTGTTACAAGGACTTTTGTTGATCTCTTACTCAACTGCACTCCACACATAATAATCAAGAGGGTTGCAGTCTGGTGAGATAGGTGGCCAGATGTAAGGGATGGTGTGACCACAGAAATTGTCTAACAGCCATTACTGGGTTCTCCTGCTTGTGTGGCATGTTACAGAGTCTTGTTGCCAGATATAGTCTTGCAGCAGCCACCGTTTTCTCCCAGGGCAGTCCTACCTCCTCAAGGCACTTGTAGGCCTCCATATTGTGTCATGGTACTCTTTCTCTCACAGACAGTGCCCAACTGATTCTATAATACTGTACAGTCAACAAAATCCTAAACAAAATTAAAATATAAAATGGCGACAATTTATCCATCGCATCCTGTATATTATATGTAGATTACGAATTTTTATTTAAAAAAATATATAGCATTTAAAATAAACGGGATTTTTATTTTATATTTAAAATAAACAAGGATTAATGATATTTATTGAAAAAAGATATTAAAATAGATGGACCTAAAAACTATATGAAAAAAAGAAAAAATACTAATTTTTATTTAAAGTTAGGATTATTATTCTATATCAAACATAAAGGGGGATTACTGGGTTATTTTAAAAAATTTTGTTAGGAAACTTTTTATATAAAAATAAACATACCTAGAAAAGATAAAAATAAAAAAGTGTATATGCTCAATATAAGGTAAGTGAACAGAAGTAAATAAAAATAATAAGAAAAGTAAAAAAATAAAAAAGGGATAGGTTATAATTTACAGTAAAAATTAATCTGGAGCGAAGTATTTCAACAGATATTTATTTTTTTGCTTACATGTGACCATCAATTCATTTCTCTTATTTAATAAGTCAGGGTTATTTAAGTTTTTAATTTAACTAATTTTTCTACAAGGCATAAATTACATCTATCACCTTCCCCATTGTAAGATTTGTTTTTTTGCTACAATATCCCATGTAATAATGGGTGTATTAACACTATTCTTTAATTGCCAGAAATGTTTGTTATAACTTCAAACATTATTTTTAGTGGATACCCATGTTTTTTGAGTAGATACTCCATTTTTTAAACTGTTTATTATGTCTACTGTCAATGGGACCTTTAGTCAAACACTGGTATCCACTAAAAATAACATTTGAAGTAATAAAAATGTTGGATCAAAAATAAATCCATTAATTCTTTAGAAATATACATATAATTTTTTGTTTTTATTCATATATATATATATATATATATATATCCAAATGTAATGAAAAAAAATAATATAAATTTCTTCTCTCTCTCCTTTTTCTTGGGAGATTTGGCATACTTTGCTTAAATTTCTGGCTGTTACATAGTATCAAAAACTGTAGCAGACACTTCTGGTTTGTTTTAAACTTTTCAGGTCAGGCCCTTCACCGCCCAAAGTGCTATCAAAAAATACTATTGTCTTACTCTGTCACCCTCTTTCCTTTCCTTCTCTTTCCTCCCTTTGCTTTACCCTTCTCCATTTCCTTTTAAGGTGTTTCTCCCTATGTATTTTTTTTCCATAAGCAGCTTGCTTGTAAATAGAATTGTTCATAACCATTTTGGGTTCTCACCAGTTGAGATGCAGCTGCATCGAAACAAGAATGCATCTTTGTAGTAAATAAGTTGTTTTTGTCCATATGCAAAAATTATAATATATATATATTATAATTATATTGCACAGCTGGAAGCCTTTTAGCAAAAGGTTATGTCAGATTTGCTGTATAACTTTTTTTCTAATATTTGAGTTATTGTCAGATGGAAGATACATGTCAAGTACTTTCCACAATTTCAAATTGTCATCTTCAGGCCGCAATTTACCCATACCCGTGTAAACCCTAAGACAAAATATGTGTAGACTGAAAGATGTTTTTTAAATTATGCTATTTATTGACAGTTTTGGAGCGTGCAATGCTGCATCACTAAAATTCTTGTTCAAATCGATAAAGTGAGAATTTTGTTTGAAGTTTGAAAAGTTATAAATCTACAAAATTTATATTATAATTTATATTAGAGTGTGTAGCTTATATTTTATATCATAAAAAAACAATTTATACAAAGTATTAAATGGCAATTTTAATGTGGCTAATAAATAAATAGCATAATTTAAAAACACATCTTTTGGTCTACACATATTTCATTTTAATGCTTACCCGTGTATGGGAAGATTGCACCCTGAAGATGACAATTTGAAATTGTCAAAAGTACTTGGCATATGTCTTCCATATGACAACAACTTGAATATAAGGATCTTATTATTCAAGGAATTGATAGTAAGTTAATGTCTCATTAAGTCTTGTTAGTGAAGTGTGTTTGCCATTAATCACATTAACATTGCTATTTAATTCTTTGTATAAATTGTTTCACACTAAAACACACCAACAAAGTAAATTCCTTCTATAACATATTAATGAACATTTTGTTGTGTATACAATTTATGTTTAACAAAAGAAACTCTTGTTTTAAACTTTCCTTTTGTTAATTTTGTTTGGATAAATGTTATCTTTGCATTGAAAAATCACTTTTATTCTGTTATTTTGTGCATGTAATCTTTACACTACCATTATTCCATGTACTATAAAATGTTCCTGTAAGAAACCTTACACATTTAATTATTGAAGTAGCTAATCACTAAAATGCTTACCTGTCCTGTTTTATTCTTCAAAGAAGCTCTTTCGATTGGTTTGTCTTTTAATGCCTTATTGATAACAGCTTCATCTTTCTGGAAATTAAAAGATATAAGTAAAGAATTAATAAAAATAAGTAGCCATTCTGGTTAGCCAAATGTAACAGTTTTCAGGAATTCAGCTTTTGCCAATTCTAATTCTAGGTTTTGAGCCATTTGAGTATTATAAAAAATACCCCATCCCACAAACAGAGGAAAACAAGTTGTAATAAAAGTTTTTTTGTCTTTGTAAAATTTTTGTATAAACAAAATTTCCAGCAAGACATTTATTTTCAAAAGTTTTTGTTGCCATCATGCTAAGTCCACTTGAATTTCCTACTCTGTACATAGCAACACAGACCTGACCATGTGAGAAACATTTAAGTAACTTTCTAATGTTTATATTAGTAATAATAATTAAAATGAATTCAGCAAACCTACTGTTTTTTTGCTTGTTAAATAATTAGGTACAGTTAGGTATTAAATAAATTTAGTTAAACATATTATTTTGGCTTAATAGATAATTCCATAATTTTTTTCTCTTCCACTTGTAGTAAAGTAAATAGGATGACAACAATGATTAGAATGAATGCTGTAGGAAATGAGAACATAAGTAATGCTCTCATGCCTAAAATCATAGAATTCTAATAACAATTTTTATATTTTTTTAAAATCAATTACTTTATGCTCAGTTCTAAAAGAATGTTTTTTAGAAGGCAAGTTCACATTTATTTTCTGTTTCCTTTAAATGTAAACATATGGAATTAAAAGGTTGCATGTTTGCATGTATTTTTGGTGTGGTGCATGTTCATATGTAAACAATTAGAAGAAGAAGCATATAAAAACTTGAGTTTCTACCACAAAGCATTTATTCTCTTTTTATATAAACTGTAGTGAAACTAAGTTCTTAATGTCTTTTGGATATATCCATTTTCTTTTTGGTCCCAGAGGTTAGGGTAAGTAAGCATAAGCATGGTTGAGCTCAAGTCAGCCTTGCACAGAATGTTCATATCTCAGTTTAATATTAATATATTTTATTTTTAATGTCATTTTCCTTCAAGACAAAGGTGATCATGGCTCTCCATAGGTTCCATTCATTTATTATCTGTGAATTGCTGTGACTTTTTTGGGAAAGATAATAGGGTGGTTTTCCAGTGTTTTTTCCATGGTTTTGAATTCAGAGTTGTTCATCTCTTGGACTGGCTCTTGACAAGGCTAGATAGCACAGTCTACCTTGCTAATTAACCTGTAGTAGTAGGAAAAGTTTAATAAATAAAATAAAATAAAAATATTTCTTAAATCTCCTGAAAAGTATCATCTACTTATCATTTGCTTTTTGTTCCTCAGTGCACACTGTTAGTGGAGCAGCCATGTTTACACTGTAACAGCAGCAAGAAAACTGGCATAATCATGCTCAAACTTTGGTCATGTGAACACAATAGTACCAACTATAAGCATGCATGAGCAAAAGACAATCTGATAAACCTAAAGATATATATCAAAAGTGTGGATAATTTTTTTTACTTACCTTTCTATACAAAAAATTAACTTTCCAAGGCAACATTTTGCAAGTGTTCATTCATTTTGAATGCAAAAACCAACATTTTGCACCAACATCCACAAACTAAAAAAAGTTTATTTTCATTATTTTTAAAAATGTTAAAATTCTATGTTTAATCATCTAGGATGTTTTTTTTATACACGTTTTTTTATGAGAAGTGTATTTTTCTGAAGTCCAGATAGTTTGTGTGAAAACTGTTGCATTTTTTAGGCTCAAGCCATTGACCATCAAAATTATTTGTCACAGATTTATTTTTTAATTCTTGAAAAAGGGTTTCATATATATTGACCAATGAGAGCTGATTTCTTGAAGCCCTTGTGAAAACTTGAAGTGAGCCAATATGACAGTCCCTTTTTCAATTAAAAAAAAGACTTATCAACAGATAAAGGCAAAAAGAGGAAGAATGAACTATTGACAAAAAAGCTATTAACAATCAAAGAGGAAGGTATTAGCACACATGCTTCAAGAGGACTGGTCTGGCCAAGGGAGTCATAAACACACGAGGCAAAGATTTTTGGACAGCAAAATCAAAAAAGCCATTTGTCATCAATAAGAGAACATCAAAGAAGGCACCAGTTACCAGCCAGCCAAACATGGAGAGACCAAAATTTCAAGTGAAAATTCTCTTGTGGTTGGACAGCCTATAACGAAAACATTTCAAAGAAATTTTCCCAAGCATGAACTGTGTAAAGTTAAAAAGGGACCCTTTTTCAAAATAACTGCTGTGAAAGTAGGGCTTTTGTTTTTTTTTTGTTTTTTTTTCTCACAGGTTGTTGAGTCTTTGCTTTTTACTGCCTTTTTATATTATTTTTTTGTCATTTACAAAATCCTTGTTTTTTCCTTGAAATTTATGTGCAAATTTGTATTGTACCTTTTTTTCATAATTGTGTAAACTGTAAATAAATACGTTTTTCTTTTTGCAATTTTAAACAGTGGTTGTCTTGATTTAAAATTGTGTGCCTCTTGTGTTTTGTTGTTTCTACTAAGTTCTTGTGTTTGGCACAAGAACTTGGATTTGGTAGGAATCAAATTTTTATAAAACCCATAGCTGGAGGTGGTAAAGAAGAGACGGTTCATACTTTACTGAAGAGCATCATTGTAAAAGTAAACACAACTGATTAGGCTGAAATTTGAACTCAGTTTGCTGATTTCAATTTCTGAACTGATAAGTATTATGCTACTTGCATGTCATCCACCCATCATTCAATATTTCTTACCATTCATTCATATAACCTGTCCCTACACATTTCACACTGCCCTATGAGTAATCCAATGACATATAGTACACTGTAGAACTTTGTTCCCACAAACAGCTTGGGAATACCAGGTGCTGTAAGCTTGAATGTGGGAGTGGTGTAATGGACAGTGGCTTGAAATTAGAAATCAGACCGCCAAGATCCAATTCCAGTCAGGTTCGTTATATTCACTTACACACAAATATCATTGGGAAAAGTAAAACTCTACCTCTTCTTCTACCAGTGTTATAGACAAGCGTATGGCTGCAAGAAAGAAATACGACAACAGCAGAAATAGATTTACGTGGTTTATTTCAACAGGAACATGTGGGTTTGGGACAGCTACCTTGTGGTAAAGTTCATAAGCCAGCTTCGGATCTAGGTCAATCTCTCATAGTAGTTCACACATGTTGATGGTGGTTGACGCTTCCCTGCTGTCAGTAGCTGACCGTGACAGGTCTCTACTCTGGGCACCCGTTGACTGCCTGTTGAACTTCCGTGTGACCCCTTTTATATCGTTTTTTAATGGCTTAACAGGCTCGAAAAACGAAGCGGGTATAATTAGGAGGGAAGCATTTTTATTGGACAAAAATAGAGCACTTTAAATATTATTTTATTTTTCGACCGGAACACGTGTGTTGGGAACATTTGTAAAGAAAGATAATGGTCATTTTGTGATGGGGCTTTGTCCCGTTCACATCTGGTTCTCGCTCTTGAGTATTTACCTGTAAATCAACTGAGATATGTCTTATTTTATTTTATAACACCAGCTATGAGTTAAAAAGTAGAACTTGTTTCAGTAAAAATCATTATTATCTATAAAAACTTCTTAGAATGTAAATAAGCTATAATATTTTCTGGTTTTAAATAACCTGCAAAAGGTTGATAATCCATCAAATACAAATCAATAAAAATTCACAAACAGATGACTTGTATAAACCTCACCTGCACCTATATCATCATCAGTTCCATGATCAGTTGTGCTTATAAGGTCATTGCCCAGCTTAACCAGCTTTCTCCACATGTCTTATTTGAAATTGTGGAGAGCCATGATTCCCCATGTCCTAAATGGAAACAGCATATAAAAGAAGAAGAATATAAAAAATTGTAACTGAAATTCCTATTTTGTTTCTGACCATTTTTTTAATTTCTTGCAATGACACCTGTTCATTCACATTACCTGTTTCTTAAGAAACAGGTGAATAAAAAAAAAGTGAGAAAACTTTGTGATACCGAATTAAGATCTTGGAGTTTTTGACGAAGTTCTTTGTTGTCTTTCCTTAAGCATCTGATTCTTTCCTTGTTCTTTTGGATCAGAGTTTGGGATGTTTCCTCGTAGGCCTTCCGATCTCCATCTTGAAAGTAAGAAGGTACAAATGATATTCTTTTCAATGAGTAAAGATAAATCTGTCAAATAAAATATTAAATTATACAAAATTATTTTAAATTATAATAGTATAATTCTTTACATAGAATATATATATATATGTACAGAATACGATAGATAAATTGTTGTCTAAATTACACAAAAAATGAAAATAACACTGATATCTCATTTTAACAGATATATTTACCAAAATTACACAAAAATATCTTGAAATACCAAAGACTAAATCTATTCAATAAAATCACCAATGGCTCCAACCACAGCCTCCAGGTGACTTCAGAATCTCCTGCAACACTTCTGGACAGTCTCCTTGTTTAAGTTGATAAATGCTGCCATAATCCTTGCCATCAATTTATTTTTGGTGTTACAAGGAGTTTTGTTGGTCTCTTGCTCAACTGTATCCCACACATAATAATCAAGAGGGTTGCAGTCTAGGGAGATAGGTGGCCAGATGTAAGGGGTGATGTGGTCATTGAAATTATCTGATCACCATGACTGAGTTCTCCTGCTTGTGTGGCATGTTGCAGAGTCCAGTTGCCAGATATAGGGTCTTCTAGTATCCACTCTCTTGACCTAGAGGAGCACTACCTTCACAAGGCACTTGATGTAGGCCTCTATGTTCAGTCTGAGGCCCTCACCCAAAAATTTGTGAGTTCTTTTCTTATTAGAATGATCAGAGCGAGTTTTCCAAGCTACCTTACCTTCGTAATGAACATTAGACTCATCTAACTCTTTCTGAATCTGCTGCACTATCCTCACATTGACACCCAAACACTCTGAAATGTTCATATTGGAGCTTCTGGCATGAATGCCAAGAAGTACAGCATGCTGTTTCCAAATTTCTAGTGGAATAAATTGCATCATAGTACTCTTTTTCTCACAAACAGTGCCTAACTGACCCTACTATACTGTGTAGTTGACAAAATCCAAAACAAACAATGTGCATACACAAAATTAAAAATATAGATTTACCCATTGCATCTTGTATATATAGATATACCTCCAAAGAATACATATATATACTGATAATATAAGTGGTTAATATATATATATATATATATATATATAAAATGAAAGAACAGTAAGATATATAATCCAGTTTTGAAACATGGTTATTACTGCATAGTGAAAAAACCATATTTTAAATCAGTTAATTTATAATATTATATATCTCTATCTATAAAAGGCAGGATGTGTGTGTGTGTGTGTGTGTGTGTGTAACAAATGCACGGACGCAATTTTTGATTGATTTGCACCAAAATTTACATGCACATGCTCCAAGTTAGCGGGAAGGCCAAGACCAACATTGCATTTCCCAACTTCCATTGATAGTGGAAATAATCAATTTCTTCATGCTTCTACAGCAGTTTTCATGTAGTTTGCAGCCATTTTGTACTGGCCAGAGTGAGAGCCTATAGCTGGCTGCCATGAATAGGCAGGAAGATTCTATTGGCCAGCGTGAGAGCCAACAGCTGACTGACATGAATGTTAACTAGCATGCTAGCATGCAAAAAAAAATTCGATAGCTGCATTTGTTACAAGTAGGAAAAATTTAAATCTGCATGGCACTTTACTCCAATTGGCTCATTCGCTTGCTTAAACTCAACGTTGATTCTGATTCTGCAGAACTGGGTTGGGTGTGAAAAAGTATTTGTTGTTAACATTCTTTTTTCATTCGGTTTTTCCAGTTATGAGTCCTTTTTTAAAGCTGATCTTTTTGTGTTCATTTTGTTTAGTTCTTTTTTCATAACAGATTTAATGCTTAGTATGGAGCTTAGAAAAAATTTGCAGTGTGAGATAGGCAAGAAGTACGGCATGTAGCAGCATCAGCACGGCAAAGGGCACTCATTTAAAGGCAAAGAAGGGCAAAAATATTTTAAGTCAAGTGATAGCGATTACTGTATGAGTTGTACGATTTTTGAATCAAGCACGGGCAATGCCGGGCCATGCTGCTAGTATATATATATATATATATATATATATATATATATATATATTTACAAGACAATATAATACAGGTAGAGCTAGCTCTATGTCATAGTCAGAGCAAGAATATTTGTGTTATATATATATATATATATATATATATATATATATATATATTATCCAGCATCAGTAGCATGACAGAGTTTCATGCACTTTTGCAATTGTCAGGTGCTGAGAATATTCTGACTATTATAGAGTTTGCATTCTCATGATGTTGATTTAAAATTTGTCACCTAAAATATTATAATTAATTATTTATAATTTATATCATTCAAATTCATAAGCTCGAAAGATGAAGAATTAAAAAACAATTATTTAAATTTGAAATAAGTAAACAAGTTAGCTGTCAAGAGGGATAACTCACTTTTTCACATAAAATGCCATAGTTATAACAATTCATTAATACTCTCAAATGTACAGGCTGGTAGATATAAAGTTACACTGTTTAAAAAACAGAGATGTCTACTCAAATACATCTATCCACTAAATATAACATTTAAAGCAATAAGAATTAATGTCAGATTAAAATAAAATTGATTAACTCCTTAGAAATATACGTACATACAGATAGATGTAGATATGGAGTTAATTCAAAAGTTCTAAATATCATATTTTTTTACGATCTTAAGGAAAAGGTAGATGTGTTTTTGAAAAATTCTGAGCTCTTTATTCCTTTAATGGGTCAAATTTGATGATGTGAAACACAATTCAGCTGTAAGTTGGCATAAGGTCATAAGGTCAAAGAAAAACCCAGAGAATAAAAATTTTCATGATTGAAAAATAATAATATGAATTCATATGAATAAAAAATCTAGACAAACAAGTACTGGAAACTTTTGTATCAATCTTTAATAATTGGAGTAAATAATCACCCAAGATTAGAAAGCCCAGTCTATCCTGCTATTTAACCCATAACTCTCAAAAGAAATGGATTCACTATTTTCCCAATAGCATATGCATGAAAGTAAGCACAGGGGTCAAGGTTGAAACTTGAACTAGGTTCACTTTCCAAAATGATACGATATCTGTTATACTACCTGTAAATCAAAGGTTTTAGTAATTTATATCTGGGCAAATAAAATAAATTGCTCAATGAAAAAATCTGGAAAAATGAATCATGATCAAAAATAAATCTTGAATACATTTGTGATTTCCCTGACATATATTTTTATAAAGCCTTCATGTCCCATTTAACTAGATGGTCGGTCTATATTAAAAGTAATAATAAATAAGTTAAGATAAAATAATAATACTAGATATACTAACAATTAATATACATAATCAAATGATATAATAATTATCAATGTGTATTTATTTATATACTTTTGCCTCAGCTGTTGTCGCAAGAGAGGTAAATAAGCTTGTTACAAAATTTATGAGTGATTACTTCCCTTAGAGTTTTTAATAATCTACAAATAAAATATTTATCTGCGTTTAGACAAAATTAGTTCCCGAGCAAAATAAAATGTTTAATTAATCAGTTCCTTTACTCTCATGTTTCTTAGATTACAGTCCTATTTGTTTAAGCCTTTCATGTGAGGCACTCAGATACCTTTGTCTATTAAGTGATCATCTTGGTCTTGAAATAGGTTTTGCTGTCACTTTTTTGTCATTGCCATATTTGTTATTCTGTTGCTAACCTTTTTCTTCCAAGATATATTTCCATTTTACTAATATAAACATTAAATTTTTAAAATGAAAATATATTGAGTAAAAAGCGAATTATATAATATCAGGAGTAATCAGGGAATCATAAGTACCATTGAATATCCAAAAATATAAAGGGAATAAAAAAGTTAATTAAAATGGTTCAGTGGTGTCTATTTTAGTTTATTGAATCTTAATACATTGTTTCAAGAATTTTGTTTCATTGTGTATTACTCTTAAAACTATTATTTAATTTTAATATAATAAAATTAAATAATAGTTTTAATAATAGTTTTAATAATTTTAATAATAGTTTTAATAATAGTTTTAATATTAAATTCTAATTTTTTTTAATAGTTTTAATATTAAATTCTAATTTTTCTTAATAGTTTTAATATTAAATTCTAATTTTTCTTTTATCTATTATCTTTAAAATTCTTCCTTTTCTTAACTTTAATAATTCTATTTTCTTATGTAATTTTTTCCAATTTTAATGTTTTCCTATTTGACATTGAGTTAACATTTTAAATATAGGTCATTGTTAATCTTCAACCGTTTTTAACTTCTATCTAGACTTGTATATATTCTGTCTTCTTGTTTCCCCCTCTCTACTTGAGTTTTTGTTTTTGTTTTTCTTTTGTTCTATCTCCTCCTTAAATGCCATCTTCCTTATTTGTTGTTTGTTCCTCTGTTTTCCTCTCTCTTTTTTTCTTCTATCCTTTTTTAATTTTAAATTTTTTTAAAACATTACAATTCATTTTTTTATCAAACAATTTAGTACTGACAAGCTCCAGGGAATTTATCCCAGGGAGCAAAATTTCCATATAAAAATGGGATACAATTGAGTTTCATATATATATATATATATATATATATATATATATAATATATATATAAAAATATATATATATAAAAAGTCCATAAAATATATATATATATATATATATATATATATATATATATATATATATATATGGTGGACTCTCCCCTCAGATGATAGAAAGGTTCAACCTTTCTTTGTGGCAGACCCATTTCATTCAAGTAATTGAGGAGTAATTGCCACACACTTAAAACTTTATTATCAGTGGGTACTTGTATATGAGTAGGCACGCCATTTATATATTAAACAATAGATTTGTTTATTTATTTTCAACTACCAGCCTGAAATTTCAAGAAATCTTATTAAAGAAAAATTTGCACTCTTTGGCAGGAATCAAACCAGCATCCCTCGGTGTAGAGAGAGAGACTGTTTAATCTGCTGTGCCTATACTGTGTTGGCCATGAAGAGACAAACAGTCAGGCAAAGACAAATTTTTTCACTTTTTTTCAAAACCC